GACAAAGATGGTCCTTCAAAAGCACAGTAGCAAAAATACTGTTGCATCTCAAAAAATATACTGATGAACTGAGAAATAGCCTTCAGAAAATTTCCTGCCCTTTACTGCCCAGGTCCAACTCATAACTATGCATGCACGTGGTACACAACTAAAAGCCTGAGGAAATCTATGCAGACTCCAGAACTGAGTACTGATATGTAAGTAGGTGAATCTGAAAGGTTTTATTGAAAATGTAGGCAAGAAGCAATAATTAGTTAAAACTTAATAGAGGAGCTCCTGCTGTACTGTTCAGACATCCCAACTGTTTCCCCTTAAGCACAGAAACTATTTTGAATAAATGCTTCCATTTTGAGACATCTACATGGTATTTGTAGAAAAACTTACGAGTCAATTTAAGTAAGGGCTGATGCCAAAATGTGCAAAGGAGTGAAAACTTTGGTTGTTGTTCTCGTTACCATAGTATAAAAATAATTCGCAAAAGTCTCCAATGTTTGTTTTGCTAAATCATGGAAGACTGGGTTCAAACACTTCAAAGGAATGGTTAACTGTGGGAAATGAGGAGTGCAGTACAGAATTAGCTTTGGCGCCTTCCGAAAGCAGTGCCCTATTGGAGCAAACTTGTGTCAGTTAACGATACCGTGTGAGATGAGAACTGGCCGCAAATGGGTACAGCCAAAGTCACCTTTGTTGTTAAAACTAAGTTTGGATTATTATGCGTTGAATTTTATACTTGTTCATGTGGATGTGAATTTCAAAAAAGAAAAATCCACTCTTCCAACAACTCAGTACTTGGAAGCCAATCTAAAATGCCATCCCCTGGTTCATGATGTGGCACGGTTCAGCGTAAAACTCATCTTGCTATCTCAGTAACTAAAGCTTCCTGGCTGGAGTCCAACACCAACTCATCTGACATGGAATCCCACTCCAAAGCCACGCATGTCAGAAGAACCTTGCCCTTGTCTGGTGTTCTAGCTATGAAATCTAAATCTGATGCACTCATTTGCTATATACTCTGTGTTTAGAAATTCAGACATTGTAGCCCATTTGTGGCTCACTCAGGTCTTCAGGAGCCCAGGAGAAGTCAGCAGGCTGAAAAAGAGTAAAAAAGGGCTCACTCTTTAATTCCCTTGCTCCCAGTTTTCTCAATTCTAAACCCTATGGCAGCTCTAGAAGTTAAGCAAGCAGCTTTCACAAAGAATGTATATTTATATGATAATAGTCCCTTACCAGGTGTTTTTGACAGCTAGAACAGCTTAGTGAAAGGCAAAAGCAAAGCTGAAAGGCACTCAGACAAGTGGAAAGAAGAGCCAATAGATCCCACTAGCCCTTGCTTGTTCTATGGCAAAGTTACATGGCAGAGATGGAGACTGAGAAAGAGTCACCAGTCTGGGATGTTCTCAAAGCATCTTGCAGAACTGGGTCTGGGACATCTATTCCCTGGTATCCTCCTTGTCACTGACACTCTCATATTTTGAGATTTATCTTAAAAGTTGTGCCTTCCCACCTGCCTTACAAGTGCAAGGTCCTGAGTTTGACCCCTGGTACCAAGAGAAAAAAAAAATCTATGCTTTCCAAAATCCTAGCAAGCCATGCAGGTTTGGAGGTGTCGTGAAATTAGTGGGTGTAGACATCTGAAATTCTGTGGCTTCTTTTGCTTGTTTTATACTACATGTTCAAAGAGACAGCAATGACCTAAGTGTCTATCTTTACTGTAAACTTTCTTCTTTCTACCATATTTTTCCCTATTGCCCTTTGCTGTGAGATCAGTAACCTAGATTATTTCCCACACCAGTCTGTTTTATACACTGGTCAGTCCAAACTATCATACTGGTTCAAAGAAAGAAAGCAAGCCCTCTCCAGGCAAACTAAGTCCCTATTTAATGACTTGCCTAAAATAATGTCACCTTGCATGACTCATATAGTGAAAGTTCTAGCAGGTAACATTTATTCTAAATGCAAAGCTACTGCTGTGCTAGAAAAGTAAGAGAAAATAGGACATTTAAAAGTGTGTGTGTGTGTGTGTGTGTGTGTTCTCTGATACTGTGAGATGTTAGGAGCTTTTATAAAGACAGTAAATTTATATCTAGGATTTCTCAGCTAGTGCAACTTATTATTTAAGACTATATAGCACACATGCATTTTTCGTGTTCTCTTTGTTATAGTTTATGCAAAACAACTACAAAATATGCTAAGTAATAACTTTTGTGTAGATGAATAATTTCGCCCTTAAATTCATGCCTCTGTTATCTCCTTATTTTCACATGAACCTGATTAGACAGCAGCAGACTTCGATTCTTCCACAGAAACTTTGACCAAACTACCCACACTTGTTGACAATGCGAAGAACTGGGAATAATGAGCAAGTTACTGCATCACTTGCAGACACGGGGAAGAAACATCAATCGAACATTTATCCTTGAAATGATAAGTGTTTTACCCCAAATTCTCATTGGCACTTGGCAGTATTCTGTCACACTCCTTCGTTCTCAGCCAGTTAATTGTCCTCTTTCTAGATGTAAGATAACATAATGGGTAGTAGTCAATCTGTTCCTTTTAGTTTTAACAGTTAAGAGGATTTTAGTCTTTGTTTTATTCTAATCACCCAATTAACTTCTTAGTTGTACTGCTATCTGGGGATCAAAAATCTGCATAAGATTTTAGGCTCTGGTCCTGGCTGAGGGAGAATGCAGAAACAAAACTGAAAGGGAATGATTAGGCATGAGTCTGATTCAAGTTTAAAAGGCCAAAACTTTTAGAAGGTGAGATAGATTGTGTGACACATTAATGTCCCATTTTTTAATAATCCTCTAAATGCTCCAACTCCCAGGTGGGAACTCGAATCCCTGCCAATCTAAGACTCAACCATCCTATTAAAATATCTAGTGATGTTTTTAGGCACACCTTGACTTAACCCAGCATTCATATGTGGCAAGATCAATCGTTCCAAAAATAAACTGTCATTTGTTTAACACCTTCCAAAACGCCTTGGAAGAAAGAAAAATCAGCAATAATAAAACTACTTTATTCCAGAGAGATGAAAGTGGGCAGGACGGGGGAAGCGTAATAAAAAGATCTTGAGTTGTGCATAGCAAGAAATTAGTATTTCCAGTAAAACTGTTCATGCAAAAAAAAAAAAAAAGCCTGTAAAGAAACTTAGCCTTCCTAACTTATTTCCTACTCTCGGGTACAGTGGAAGGACTGATCCAAGGTCCCTAGACAGATGTCCTCCTCTCTCAGAAGGGAGCTAGATCTCCTCACAGCAGGCCGCAGGAGGCTTCAGGCCGCCCCCCCATTTCAGTTTGTGCTGCGGTAACCCCGCTCCCACCTGCAGCCCCTGGTCTGTCCCACTTGGGAAGTCCCGTGCAGCTGTGAGGCAGGCACGGGTAGGTTTCACTGTAGGAAGCAGGCATCAGCAAGGGCCAGGCTGGATGCCAGGGGTCGGGGGTGGGAGAGGGGGAGGCTCTGAGCTGAACTGCAAACGCATATGCGAAGGGGCACGCGACGCCCTCCCCTGGGCAGCTCTCAGGGTGGTGGCAGGGCAGGTGCCATCTCAGAGCTGCCAAGAGCCCAGGAGGGAGCGAGAGAAGGGTAAAAGGACGGGCACGGAGGGGGATGGTTAGGCAGGGTATGGAGCTCGAACCCGGGACGGACGAGGGCTCCGGGACCCAAGCGGCGTCCACTGCAACACCGGGCCGCTCTCGACCCTCCACGCCGCCAGGACGCTCTTAGTCCTCAAGGCTCGCGGCGGGGCTGCAGAAGTGGTGGCTGCGGCGGGT